CCAATAAATTTTTACATTTCTAGCGAATTTTCGCAATTTCAATACATTTTGCAATTACAATTTTTTTTTTGCCAAATCCAAGTATTTCTGAAATTCCAATAAATTTTTGCAATTCCAATTATATATTTTTGCAATTCCAGTTTTTTTATTTTCAATTCCAAAAAAGTTTTCTGCTGCAATTTTAGAAATTTTCATAATTTTTCACACTCCTAAGGAATTTTTGCAATTCCAATAATTTTTTAGAATTTCTTTGAATTTTTTGCAATTTTAACAAATTTCCACAAATCTAAGTATTTCTGCAATCCCAATAAATTCTTTCAATCCCCATAAATTTTTACAATTCCAAAATTTTTGCATTTTTTTCAAATATTTCAATTTTAATAAATTTTTGCAATTCCTATAAATGTATAAATTTTTCAATTATTCATCAAGTATTTCTGTAATTCCATTTTTTTAAAGCTTTGTATTTCCAAATTTTTGCAATTCCAATACATAAATTTTTCTGCAATTCTAATAATTTTCAATTTCAATCATTTCTTTGTAATTTCAATAAATTTTAGAATTTCAAATCTAAGTATTTCTGCAATTCTAATAAATTTTTGCAATTCCATTTTTTTTCAATTCTAAATTTTCAACTACAATTTTTTGCATTTCAAATTAATTTTTGGAGAATTTTTGCAATTCCAATAGGTTTTTTTTGCAATTTCAATAAATTTTGCAATTCTAAAAAAAATTCACAAACATAAGTATTTCTGCAATTCCAATAATTTTTTTAGTAATTCTACTAATTTTTTTGCAATTCCAATAAATTTTTACATTTCGAGCGAATTTTCGCAAGTTCAATAATTCTTTCGTAATTTCAATACATTTTGCAATTACATTTTTTTTTTTGCCAAATCCAAGTATTTCTGAAATTCCAATAAATTTTTGCAATTCCATTTATATTTTTGCAATTCCAGTTTTTTTTATTTTCAATTCCAAAAGAGTTTTCTGCTGCAATTTTAGAAATTTTCATAATTTTTCACACTCCCAAGGAATTTTTGCAATTCCAATAATTTTTTAGAATTTCTTTGAATTTTTTGCAATTTTAACAAATTTCCACAAATCTAAGTATTTCTGCAATCCCAATAAATTCTTTCAATCCCAATAAATTTTTACAATTCCAAAATTTTTGCATTTTTTTCAAATATTTCAATTTTAATAAATTTTTGCAATTCCTATAAATGTATAAATTTTTCAATTATTCATCAAGTATTTCTGTAATTCCATTTTTTTAAAGCTTTGTATTTCCAAATTTTTGCAATTCCAATACATAAATTTTTCTGCAATTCTAATAATTTTCAATTTCAATAATTTCAATAAATTTTAGAATTTCAATTTTTTTTACAAATCTAAGTATTTCTGCAATTCTAATAAATTTTTGCATTTCCATTTTTTTTCAATTCTAAATTTTCAACTACAATTTTTTGCATTTCAAATTAATTTTTGGAGAATTTTTGCAATTCCAATTGGTTTTTTTTGCAATTTCAATAAATTTTGCAATTCTAAAAAAATTTCACAAACATAAGTATTTCTGCAATTCCAATAATTTTTTTAGTAATTCTACTAATTTTTTTACAATTCCAATAAATTTTTACATTTCGAGCGAATTTTCGCAATTTCAATAATTCTTTCGTAATTTCAATACATTTTGCAATTACATTTTTTTTTTTGCCAAATCCAAGTATTTCTGAAATTCCAATAAATTTTTGCAATTCCAATTATATTTTTGCAATTCCAGTTTTTTTATTTTCAATTCCAAAAAAGTTTTCTGCTGCAATTTTAGAAATTTTCATAATTTTTCACACTCCTAAGGAATTTTTGCAATTCCAATAATTTTTTAGAATTTCTTTGAATTTTTTGCAATTTTAACAGATTTCCACAAATCTAAGTATTTTTGCAATCCCAATAAATTCTTTCAATCCCAATAAATTTTTATAATTCCAAAATTTTTGCATTTTTTTCAAATATTTCAATTTTAATAAATTTTTGCAATTCCTATAAATGTATAAATTTTTCAATTATTCATCAAGTATTTCTGTAATTCCATTTTTTTAAAGCTTTGTATTTCCAAATTTTTGCAATTCCAATACATAAATTTTTCTGCAATTCTAATAATTTTCAATTTCAATAATTTCAATAAATTTTAGAATTTCAATTTTTTTTACAAATCTAAGTATTTCTGCAATTCTAATAAATTTTTGCAATTCCATTTTTTTTCAATTCTAAATTTTCAACTACAATTTTTTGCATTTCAAATTAATTTTTGGAGAATTTTTGCAATTCCAATAGGTTTTTTTTGCAATTTCAATAAATTTTGCAATTCTAAAAAAATTTCACAAACATAAGTATTTCTGCAATTCCAATAATTTTTTTAGTAATTCTACTAATTTTTTTACAATTCCAATAAATTTTTACATTTCGAGCGAATTTTCGCAATTTCAATAATTCTTTCGTAATTTCAATACATTTTGCAATTACATTTTTTTTTTTGCCAAATCCAAGTATTTCTGAAATTCCAATAAATTTTTGCAATTCCAATTATATTTTTGCAATTCCAGTTTTTTTATTTTCAATTCCAAAAGAGTTTTCTGCTGCAATTTTAGAAATTTTCATAATTTTTCACACTCCTAAGGAATTTTTGCAATTCCAATAATTTTTTAGAATTTCTTTGAATTTTTTGCAATTTTAACAAATTTCCACAAATCTAAGTATTTCTGCAATCCCAATAAATTTTTTCAATCCCCATAAATTTTTACAATTCCAAAATTTTTGCATTTTTTTCAAATATTTCAATTTTAATAAATTTTTGCAATTCCTATAAATGTATAAATTTTTCAATTATTCATCAAGTATTTCTGTAATTCCATTTTTTTAAAGCTTTGTATTTCCAAATTTTTGCAATTCCAATACATAAATTTTTCTGCAATTCTAATAATTTTCAATTTCAATAATTTCTTTGTAATTTCAATAAATTTTAGAATTTCAATTTTTTTTACAAATCCAAGTATTTCTGCAATTCTAATAAATTTTTGCAATTCCATTTTTTTTTCAATTCTAAATTTTCAACTACAATTTTTTGCAATTCAAATTAATTTTTGGAGAATTTTTGCAATTCCAATAGGTTTTTTTTTGCAATTTCAATAAATTTTGAAATTCTAAAAAAATTTCACAAACAAGTATTTCTGCAATTCCAATAATTTTTTTTTTGTAATTCTACTAATTTTTTTGCAATTCCAATAAATTTTTACATTTCTAGCGAATTTTCGCAATTTCAATACATTTTGCAATTACAATTTTTTTTTTTGCCAAATCCAAGTTTTTCTGAAATTCCAATAAATTTTTGCAATTCCAATTATATTTTTGCAATTCCAGTTTTTTTATTTTCAATTCCAAAAGAGTTTTCTGCTGCAATTTTAGAAATTTTCATAATTTTTCACACTCCTAAGGAATTTTTGCAATTCCAATAATTTTTTAGAATTTCTTTGAATTTTTTGCAATTTTAACAAATTTCCACAAATCTAAGTATTTCTGCAATCCCAATAAATTCTTTCAATCCCCATAAATTTTTACAATTCCAAAATTTTTGCATTTTCTTCAAATATTTCAATTTTAATAAATTTTTGCAATTCCTATAAATGTATAAATTTTTCAATTATTCATCAAGTATTTCTGTAATTCCATTTTTTTAAATTTTGCAATGCCAATACATAAATCTTTTTGCAATTCTAAAAATTTTTGCAATTCCAGTATATTTTCACTTTTTTAACAAATTTTTGCAATTCTAATAAATTTTCGCAATTTCAACAAGTTTTTTGTACTTGGTTTCAAAAACTTTTGCAATTCCAATGAAAATTAAGGGAATTACGAGAAAATTCCGATAATTTAAAAAAAAAAAAATAATACGAAAACAACTGGGAATAATTGTGAAAATTTACAACTTTTTGAAAAATTACGAAAAATACCAAAACCGCAGGAACCGAGCCAGAAACTATTCCAAAATTTCGGGAAAATACGGAAAATCGATGCTTGAATCGATATTTGGAAATTGATCGATTTCGATAGTTGAGCTCATCTCTAAAATCGATATTTGAACTGATACGAATTTCAGTATTTGAATCGATTTTATTATCGATTCTTGGAAATCGATCAATTTCGATAGTTGATTTGACAAGTTATTGGATGAAAAAATTTCGAAAATTGTCAAAAATGTATATAAAAAATTACAGAAAAATTACCCATTAACCTTCTCCTCCTCCTTGAGCCTGGTCAAATAATCAACGTCCATCCAATCAGGGGGCACTATTTTACACTGTTGCCGTTTCTTAAGGTCGATAGCCATCCAAAGGGGCACCCGAACGGGGATTGTTGCCCTGAACGGCCCCACGTCCCCACCAATCAAAAACAGCGCTGGACTGTTGAAAGTTGGCACGATTTCCACCAGCGACTTTTCCGCCCAAAACTCTACTTCATCTGGATCCATTTTTTAAATTGTTTTTCGAAATTTCGAGCCCCCTTTTTTTTCCGGTTGTAAACAAAACAAGCTTAACCTCACTTTTTTTAATTTTGACGGTTGTTGTCAGTGGCGCCATCTAGTATAAAGCGGACGAAGCTGTCAAATTACAGATTTCTGTCCTGTGATCGAATTGACAGATTAGGTATGTGGCGCCATCTAGTAGTGGGCAGTCAAAATTAAAGTTTGCAGATTTCTGTCTTACCTTCAATACTTGACATAAGGGCGGGTATTATAAAACTACTTTGAGAGTTAACTTCTGGAATTACATGTAATTCAAAAAGTTAACTGTCAAAGCAGTTTTATGATCCCCGCCCTTAATCTGGTGGCGCCATCTAATTACAAGTGATCAAAAATGGCCAATTACAGGTTTCTGTTTTAAAATTCTAGTTAGTGCAAAAATATTTTAAAAAGTGCAATTAGTTTAAAATCAGAGTAATTGATATTGCAGAATCAGAGTATATCGATTTTGCGTTTTTGCTCTATATCTGCTATGCACTAGTTCTATTTAAATTACTCTTCAATGTTCCAATTGCTCTATTATGTTCCGTTTGCACCAATTCCAATTAGTCTGACTGTTCTAATTGTTCTTATCTGTTCCATTTGTACTCATTTTGCTCTAATTACTCTAAATCAATTAATTTATTCACTATAACAACAAATCAATTAATAAAAACACTTGCTCTAGCTCTGTTCGAATTGTCCTAATTTTATTTTTGGTTCTGTTCGAACCGTTCTGATCCGAATCCATTATTTTATTTACTCTTTAATGTTCCAATTGCTCTAACTATGTTCCGGTTGCATCAATTCTATTTGAATTACGAATTACTCTGACTGTACCAATTGTTCTAAATTTGTTTTATTTGCACTAGCTCTGTTCTAACTACTCTGAATCATTTAATTTATTTACTCTAACAGCCAATCAACTTATTAGTTAGTATTATTTTTGACTCCGCTCGAACTGTTCTGATTTAAATTTTGCATTTTTAGTCATTTTGTGTTTTTGCTCTAATTTTATTCCATTTGAACTAACTCTATTTTAATTACTCTTTAATGTTCCAATTGCTCTAATTATGTTCCGGTTGCACTTAATTCTATTTGAATTGCGAATTACTCTACTGTTCCAATTGTTCTAAATCTGTTTTATCTGCACTAACTCTGTTCTAACTACTCTGAATCATTCAAATTATTTACTGTAACAACTAATCAACCTGTAAAAATACTTGCACTGGTTTTGTTCAAATTGTTCTTTTTTTATTTTTGACTCTGCTCGAACTGTTCTGATTTGAATTTTGCGTTCTTGCTCTAAAATTGTTCCATTTGCGCTAACTCGATTTTAAATACTCTTTAGTGTTCCAATTGCTCTAATTATGTTCCGGTTGCACTTAATTCTATTTGAATTGCGAATTACTCTAACTGTTCCAATTGTTCTAAATATGTTTTATTTGCACTAACTCTGTTCTAACTACTCTGAATCATTCAAATTATTTACTGTAACAACTAATCAACCTGTAAAAATACTTGCACTGGTTTTGTTCAAATTGTTCTTTTTTTATTTTTGACTCTGCTCGAACTGTTCTGATTTGAATTTTGCGTTTTTGCTCTAAAATTGTTCCATTTGCGCTAACTCGATTTTAAATACTCTTTAGTGTTCCAATTGCTCTAATTATGTTCCGGTTGCACTTAATTCTATTTGAATTGCGAATTACTCTAACTGTTCCAATTGTTCTAAATCTGTTTTATCTGCACTAACTCTGTTCTAACTACTCTGAATCATTCAAATTATTTACTGTAACAACTAATCAACTTGTAAAAATACTTGCACTGGTTTTGTTCAAATTGTTCTTTTTTTATTTTTGACTCTGCTCGAACTGTTCTGATTTGAATTTTGCGTTTTTGCTCTAAAATTGTTCCATTTGCGCTAACTCGATTTTAAATACTCTTTAGTGTTCCAATTGCTCTAATTATGTTCCGGTTGCACTTAATTCTATTTGAATTGCGAATTACTCTAACTGTTCCAATTGTTCTAAATCTGTTTTATCTGCACTAACTCTGTTCTAACTACTCTGAATCATTCAAATTATTTACTGTAACAACTAATCAACTTGTAAAAATACTTGCACTGGTTTTGTTCAAATTGTTCTTTTTTTATTTTTGACTCTGCTCGAACTGTTCTGATTTGAATTTTGCGTTTTTGCTCTAAAATTGTTCCATTTGCGCTAACTCGATTTTAAATACTCTTTAGTGTTCCAATTGCTCTAATTATGTTCCGGTTGCACTTAATTCTATTTGAATTGCGAATTACTCTAACTGTTCCAATTGTTCTAAATCTGTTTTATCTGCACTAACTCTGTTCTAACTACTCTGAATCATTCAAATTATTTACTGTAACAACTAATCAACCTGTAAAAATACTTGCACTGGTTTTGTTCAAATTGTTCTTTTTTTATTTTTGACTCTGCTCGAACTGTTCTGATTTGAATTTTGCGTTCTTGCTCTAAAATTGTTCCATTTGCGCTAACTCGATTTTAAATACTCTTTAGTGTTCCAATTGCTCTAATTATGTTCCGGTTGCACTTAATTCTATTTGAATTGCGAATTACTCTAACTGTTCCAATTGTTCTAAATATGTTTTATTTGCACTAACTCTGTTCTAACTACTCTGAATCATTCAAATTATTTACTGTAACAACTAATCAACCTGTAAAAATACTTGCACTGGTTTTGTTCAAATTGTTCTTTTTTTATTTTTGACTCTGCTCGAACTGTTCTGATTTGAATTTTGCGTTTTTGCTCTAAAATTGTTCCATTTGCGCTAACTCGATTTTAAATACTCTTTAGTGTTCCAATTGCTCTAATTATGTTCCGGTTGCACTTAATTCTATTTGAATTGCGAATTACTCTAACTGTTCCAATTGTTCTAAATCTGTTTTATCTGCACTAACTCTGTTCTAACTACTCTGAATCATTCAAATTATTTACTGTAACAACTAATCAACTTGTAAAAATACTTGCACTGGTTTTGTTCAAATTGTTCTTTTTTTATTTTTGACTCTGCTCGAACTGTTCTGATTTGAATTTTGCGTTTTTGCTCTAAAATTGTTCCATTTGCGCTAACTCGATTTTAAATACTCTTTAGTGTTCCAATTGCTCTAATTATGTTCCGGTTGCACTTAATTCTATTTGAATTGCGAATTACTCTAACTGTTCCAATTGTTCTAAATCTGTTTTATCTGCACTAACTCTGTTCTAACTACTCTGAATCATTCAAATTATTTACTGTAACAACTAATCAACTTGTAAAAATACTTGCACTGGTTTTGTTCAAATTGTTCTTTTTTTATTTTTGACTCTGCTCGAACTGTTCTGATTTGAATTTTGCGTTTTTGCTCTAAAATTGTTCCATTTGCGCTAACTCGATTTTAAATACTCTTTAGTGTTCCAATTGCTCTAATTATGTTCCGGTTGCACTAAATTCTATTTGAATTGCGAATTACTCTAACTGTTCCAATTGTTCTAAATCTGTTTTATCTGCACTAACTCTGTTCTAACTACTCTGAATCATTCAAATTATTTACTGTAACAACTAATCAACTTGTAAAAATACTTGCACTGGTTTTGTTCAAATTGTTCTTTTTTTATTTTTGACTCTGCTCGAACTGTTCTGATTTGAATTTTGCGTTTTTGCTCTAAAATTGTTCCATTTGCGCTAACTCGATTTTAATTACTCTTTAGTGTTCCAATTGCTCTAATTATGTTCCGGTTGCACTTAATTCTATTTGAATTGCGAATTACTCTAACTGTTCCAATTGTTCTAAATCTGTTTTATTTGCACTAGCTCTGTTCTAACTACTCTGAATCATTCAAATTATTTACTGTAACAACTAATCAACCTGTAAAAATACTTGCACTGGTTTTGTTCAAATTGTTCTTTTTTTATTTTTGACTCTGCTCGAACTGTTCTGATTTGAATTTTGCGTTTTTGCTCTAAAATTGTTCCATTTGCGCTAACTCGATTTTAATTACTCTTTAGTGTTCCAATTGCTCTAATTATGTTCCGGTTGCACTTAATTCTATTTGAATTGCGAATTACTCTAACTGTTCCAATTGTTCTAAATCTGTTTTATTTGCACTAGCTCTGTTCTAACTACTCTGAATCATTCAAATTATTTACTGTAACAACTAATCAACCTGTAAAAATACTTGCACTGGTTTTGTTCAAATTGTTCTTTTTTTATTTTTGACTCTGCTCGAACTGTTCTGATTTGAATTTTGCGTTTTTGCTCTAAAATTGTTCCATTTGCGCTAACTCGATTTTAATTACTCTTTAGTGTTCCAATTGCTCTAATTATGTTCCGGTTGCACTTAATTCTATTTGAATTGCGAATTACTCTAACTGTTCCAATTGTTCTAAATCTGTTTTATTTGCACTAGCTCTGTTCTAACTACTCTGAATCATTCAAATTATTTACTGTAACAACTAATCAACCTGTAAAAATACTTGCACTGGTTTTGTTCAAATTGTTCTTTTTTTATTTTTGACTCTGCTCGAACTGTTCTGATTTGAATTTTGCGTTTTTGCTCTAAAATTGTTCCATTTGTGCTAACTCGATTTTAATTACTCTTTAGTGTTCCAATTGCTCTAATTATGTTCCGGTTGCACTTAATTCTATTTGAATTGCGAATTACTCTAACTGTTCCAATTGTTCTAAATCTGTTTTATTTGCACTAGCTCTGTTCTAACTACTCTGAATCATTCAAATTATTTACTGTAACAACTAATCAACCTGTAAAAATACTTGCACTGGTTTTGTTCAAATTGTTCTTTTTTTATTTTTGACTCTGCTCGAACTGTTCTGATTTGAATTTTGCGTTTTTGCTCTAAAATTGTTCCATTTGCGCTAACTCGATTTTAATTACTCTTTAGTGTTCCAATTGCTCTAATTATGTTCCGGTTGCACTTAATTCTA